TTTTTTTTTTTTTTTTTTTTTTTTTTTTTTTTTTTTTTTCCGTGTATGTAAGAACATTTGTATGGCTTAAAGTTAATTTAAACAGCACGCACATATTGTTACTTATAAAAAGAAATTGTTGCTATCAGTTTTGTGGAAAAAAGTTTATCACTGTCAATAATTAATTTTAAGTTAAGTTGCAAAGAAAAGTTTTTTATTTTCATACCTAGATCGTCAATGAAATACACATTTTTTTCACAGTACAGTTAGTCTGTGTTGTCATGAATTATGTACTTATTTATACTATTAAGAATACAAACATCAGGAAACTTTCAACTGCTTGCAACGTCTAATTCGCACAACCATACACGTACTGATGTATACATGTAAACACGACCAAATGATACCTTGATCGATAACTCTATAACAAGACGTGAAGAAAAAAAAGAGACTTGGAGTAAGTGCCGAAGAGACTGAGCGGAGCAGAAATTTTAAGTTTACAGGGTAAGTTCAGTGGCAGGCTCAAGGATTTCTATCAACTACTTGGATAGTTAAGGAATCATTATTTTGAAAAGGTGGTAATTGGAGCAATTATAGAAAGACTTTATTTTTCATAACCTTTCTTTATAAGTACCTTTTTTTACACGAATGCCGATATTAACATATTACTAGCATTCTTATAAAATACAATTCATTATCGCACTAAATAAGTAGATGATATTTAAATATCGCTGACTTTTTTGATAAGTTATTAGCAAATTTTTAACTTTGAAGAATTTTTCTCTGTATTAGAGCCTCAAAAATGTAATGTTTATATATTTTATTTTTAAAAAAAACCTTTTTTTGATAATTAATAAACAAGCAGCCAATTATCAGGAAGCATGCAGTCAGCCGAGGTAAGTGGTAAGCTGCAGTTATACATGCTTCAATCTAGGTTTATCTTTTTGTCTTTGCAACCCATCAGTAGCTATTAAAGAATTGAATGTATTAGATTTAGGATTTCGATGCTTTTTTTGTTTAGTTTTAGAATATGAATGGTGTGTACAAACACGTGTGGGCTACATGTTGTTAAAAAATTATTTAATGTTTTCCTGCATGTATTTTAAAAATTGTTTCATCAACGAAAAAGGGTAAATACACGATTTTATTGTACGAGAAAAATGAAAGCTAATTGCGTTTATTTTTTGGTAGTGCAATGCATAAAAACCGACAGTACAAATAAATTCGAATTATTAACAAAAGTCGCTATAAACTGTGGTAATTTTAGCAAAAAAAATTAGATCAGCTTTATCGATTTCAACTGCAAAGTTGATACGCAGTTGAGGTGTATTGAGACATTAAAAAATTGTACAGTCAAATAAATATATTTTTAAGGTAAAGAAAACAATTTATTTTTTATTACATTAAATAGAAGCTGTTAACGTACAAAGCTTATGCTTGACCGTAGATTATATCCTTAAAATCTGAAATGTACCAAACCCATTGAAAACTGTCTAAAAAACTTTCAATTTCACCCATAACCTCGTCTCTAATCCATCCAATTCCATTTACATACATACATACATAAAACACATCGACCAAATGAAAAAAATTCACATCAGCATTTCTTAATGCATGGGAGGGAAGAATGAGATGAGCGTTTAAATTTTTAGGTCCACGAAGCTGATGCATGCTTGGTTTTGGCTAATAAGTATTGCCAGGATCCTGATGCTGAGGATGCTGCAAACATTATGCGTGTCATCTCTATCAAAAACTACTCGGACGATATTCGCGTTATCATACAGCTAATGCAGTATCACAATAAGGTGAGATTTACTTCTTGAGAAGAGTAATTGAGGCTGTATACGTTGCACGATTATGTAACACATGTTTATCACAAAAACATTGCTCTGCATTGACTGCAATGTATATTTTCCTGAGATGGTTACTATACTGAGATTATTATACCTACATCATGTGATTCTAAAATCGACTGAGACTCTTTCGTATGCGTAGGCCTATTTGCTAAATATTCCATCGTGGGACTGGAAACAAGGCGATGACGTAATCTGCCTGGCAGAGCTGAAGCTGGGCTTCATAGCTCAGTCTTGCCTGGCTCCGGGATTCAGTACGATGATGGCCAATCTTTTCGCCATGCGTTCCTTCAAGACGGTCAGTACATTACGTTCAAACACACGCTAAGTTTAATAATTTATTTTCTTTTTCAAAAATTAACCATGTATGTATGTGTAAGTTTTTGGAAAAAAAACCGTCAGGAGATTTTTTGAAGATTTTTCCAATCGACAGACATAGGAAATTTTTATTTTTTCTCAACGTGCTTTGTAATGATTAATTTTTTTTCTCTCGCCAAGAAAAAAACATAAAAATTTCAAAGTTCTTGAAACTCTATATAAGTATACAAAGACTCACTACAAAGACTCTTAAAAAAAAAAAGACCCTAACACTTATGTAGTCATAGAGAAACTGGAGATTACATACATGCAAAAGGTACATACGTACGTACATAGTGGTGCGTGTAATAAATATTACCGAGAAAAGTCGTTGGTTGATAATTGGTACCAGTCGCCCGTACGTACACACAGGCTTGGCAGAACGACTACCTACGCGGCACCGGGATGGAGATGTACACCGAAACACTGAGCCCTACCTTCATCGGGATGCCCTTTGCAAAGGCCACTGAGTAAGTCGGCCCATCATCAAAGTTAACAGAAACCCTCAAACTAAAAAAAATAATAGATCTTCCAAATAATGAACTGATTATGAGTAATGCAGTACTAACTCTACAAACGGCTATCGCCAACCAATTCAAGAGACTTCTTCTATCATTAGCATTTTCATTGAATACAATTACAATCAAATCAATTTTTTTCATACCAAAACAAATCTTTAAGAAAAAAAAACTCGCTTTTTAATACATATTACATATTGGGATTCATCGTTCACAATTGTATCAAAAATCGAGTGTATACCATGGCAAAGAAAATTCGAGATACTTGAAAAAGGTGGATCTAAGTGAAGAGAAAAACTTTTTTAGTAAAAAAAAAAAAAAAAAAAAAAAACAGCTGTTGAAAGTGTAATGTATCTCACAGTTACGAATTATTTTACTACTACTTCTACTATCTATCCTTATTATTTTCAATTTTTGTTGCTCTTATCATTTTCATTATTATTATTATTATTGTTATTNTATATATATTTCAAGCTTCGCCTTTCGCCTATGTCTTTACGTCACACACTATGCTCCACACTATGCTACATCCAATATTTAATTAAATATTTTTTTTTTTCTGTCTAACTATTTTCAAGCATATCTACCAATAAGTATGTGAATGATGCAATACAAAAATGTGTTTAAAAATACAAAATAATGACAGTCACATTTGTGCTAATCACTAATTAATGTGAATCAATCACCTTTCATTGCTTTCAATTATAACTCAAGTGTACTATCTCACTTTTTCTACGACTACAGTTTTTTTTTTCGTTTGCAAACATTATGTTGATATTTGCCCTCATCGTGGGCGTCGAGTTACCAAGCTAATCAATAATCGCCGAAATAATAGCAGCTGTCTATGTAGTCATTTTATATTTAACTTTTTTGAGGACTTTTTTCGACTCTACTGTGTGATGAAAAAAACTATGATCCGTTTGATTTTCGGTATTCTTTAATAGCTCTCAATGACTAACTTAGAAAATATTTTTTACTTCACTATTACACAAACAAAAGTGAAGAAGGCGCTGATAGCGGTTTTAAAATAGTATTTTTTTTCTTTTTTTTACCAAGTATAAAAAATCAAGCATACTCCAATATCGTTACTTACAAATAACTAAAAAATCATTAATGTTAAGCCATAATAAACTTATTGTAGAAAGTTTTTTCAAGATAACACATGCGTTAGTGGTAATTTTTAACTATCAAAGATTTTAACTGCTAATTTCAACTATTAAATCAGTGGATATCTAATCATTTATAATAAGAGAGATGCTTAACAAAAACTTTTCAATTGTCAATGTAGATTTTTTGTTGCAAAAGTTAACAAAAATATTCCATGTAAACGTAAAAAAATTTTTTAAACACTTAAAAACACGTGATAAACATACAAAAAAAGTAAGCATTGCAAAAAAATTAATTAATTAAAAAAAAAAACAAAAAAAAAATGACGTCAAAAACACGTAAGCTGGGTATGTACAAGAAACAAGACTCGATGTGCGCTTGTAATTCGTTATTTTTTCATGGTTCTGTTTTCTCCAATGCAGATGAACAAAAAGCGAAGACTATTAGGTATTGTATTTGAGCTATTTTCCAATCGGGAAATACGTTACATAGGAATTGATAACCGTATTGTTCGGTTAAAAATATTGACACAGAGCTGTTTAACCGATAAGAAGAGGGGATGTGCTTTCGTACACTCTTTCAACGAGTTATCGAGTATAATGGTATTTTACATCATTTTCTCAGTTTTCGAAAGACTCGGGTATTACTTGAACAATACATCACAAAATACATAAATGTAAAAAATGATGTAGGATTGTTTAGCGTAAAACTACATGTATCTTGATTGAAAAATAGGAAAATAAAAATAATGCTTGTGAATATATGAGTTCAACTGAATGAACGAGATGATGACGTGAAGCCATGGTTGGTTGGTGTTTCAGTCGCCGGACACTCAAGCGTGGCAGAACGATTACCTGCAAGGCACAGGCTGCGAGATGTACACGGAAACCCTGTCCCCGTCCTTTACCGGGATGACATTTCCCCAAGCCAGCGAGTAAGTCACTCGCTGCCCACGGCTGCCACACATGCAAACTCTTCCTTTCTCTCTCTCTCTCTCTCTCTCTCTCTCTCTCTCTCTCTCTCTCTCTCTCTCTAATTCAATATTTTTACTTCAGTTTGTTTTTCTCCTACTTTATTTTTCTTCATTCTGTTGTCTATTTTACTTTTTTCTCATATTCCAATTTTTATCATTGGAAGCAAATGAACCAATACTATTATTCGAAATAATTTTTATAAAATTAAACATACAATTTTCATTCATACATTTTTATCAATTGTGATTTGCTTGTTCAGGTCAAGACTTATTTCCACTAATTTTTTTTCTTATATTTCTCTCTTTTCCTGGCAATCTTAAGGGTCTCTTTACTCAAACAGAAAATAAATCCGACGAGTAGATATGGAAAAAATATTGTAACGCGGATCCATTTATGAAAATACAGTTAAATTCATAAAAAAATTAAAGACATTAAAGAGTTGACTTTCATGAGCTACGAGGTCCTCTTGACTCTCGGGCTAATATGTAAATGTGCTTGTTTTTAAAACGCTTTTAAATAGAGGTTGATGTGTAGCACAGCAGCATGTATCAGTACATGTATGCTGTGTTTTCATAATTTTTATCTATTTCGACTTTTTATAGAAATAGTAAGTTTTTGTATTGACTAAAATGCATTACAACAATGTATTAAGTAAGTGATTACAAAATTTTTTTAACCAGCATATAATCCGCGTTACCGGACATTAAGTATCTCTTTAACTTGTTATAAACTATAACCAGATTTATTTTTTGATACATTCGGCCAGTTAACTGATTTTTAGGTATCAATTTTTTAGTTTTTATGTGGACCAGAACAGTTGGTAAAGAGCCTTCTTAACATTCATTTAGTTTTATATATACATATTTCTTGAACATCATATTTTATACTATTTCGTCCGATTTTCTAGATACACTTTGTAATTTTAAATAAATTTGAACGAAACAAGCACTTAACACGTCCATCTCTTATGTTATACAAATCATTTGTTATTCCTTTGTACTATTGTTACAGTGTTTTTTCTTTCCATACCTCCTTAAAATCACGATAGCTTACGGTTTTAAAGGCATTTTTCTCCTAGTGTTTCATCGTAAGAATAAATAATAGAGATAGATAGAAAAAGCGCTGTATAAAAAACTGTAGCAAACACTATCACTCTTTCTCTTTTTTGCGCTGAAGGTTTTTATAGAAGACTCGGCCCTTGTAACGCAATATGCCGCACTAGTGTTTCCAAGTGTACATTTTTTGTGTAAAATCTCCTTATTTATTATTTTTTCGTCCCTTGCCTTTTTGTCTGAGCGCTTGCACACAGTTCCTTTTTTTTTGACTCGCTTTTACTTCTCTCATTTTTTGTTTATCGTAAAATATTATGTTTACTTTAAACTCTAGATTAGCGTTTTTCTCTTTTTCTTGCAGTTCATCAACAGACAATATCGACCAAAATATTTTTAACTCTATTTTAACTGCTTAGAATTTTGTTATAACTTGTGAGAAATATTCGATACTGGATGTGTGCAAGCGTGCATGTAAATTTTGCATTTTGTACATGTTAAATAGTTTTTGTCCCTTTTAAGTTCACTATTGATTTATATAGATTATTGTTATTTAAAAAAGTGCACTTTTTTTAGTTATAAATTAATTTTTGTACTAGCAATATGCATTCTCTCACATTATAGAGAACATTATTTTACTCACACTCAGTCTTTACACTCACACACCGTCACCCATATACACATATACGTTTGTGTGAGTGTGTGTTTTACTCGTTTACTATATTTGGTTTCGTTCGTTTGATTTTAGTTTAAAAAAATATTCGACAAACTGCCATAATATTTCACTTTGGTAGGAGAGATTCGTATCACTGGAGACGCATTACGCCGACAAATGGTATCATTGCACACTTCTTCAATAACATGTGTAACTGGGTGCACACTATTGAACTCAGGAAATATAAAAATATGCTAGCGGTACATCTATAAAAAATGATACTTATATAGCTTATTCTCGGTGTAACTTGTAATAGTGCGTATGCGGCTTGAGAGTATGTACACTCACTGTGTACACACACACACACACACACACACACACACACACACACACACACATATATATATATATTTTACAGCAGTTGGTCCACAAGTGAACTTATTCAATAAAAATACAAACGGATGATCATTCAATAAAAGTTAAAATTCGTCATCGGTTTTTAAAGTACTGATGCTACCGATACTAAATATTATTTCAGATTACGACATAATGGATACCGGTGGTTCGGAAGTTCAAAACCAGAGTTTTATGAATGGCATTTTGTCTACGTGTATGAAAAATATTTTGTGTTTATAAACTAAGTCATTATGTTTTTGGGCTTCATTTAAATTCCGAGTATACGATTCATTTACGAGATTATTCAAAGTTTTTCTTCAATAAGCTGCGATCAAAGCACACGAAGTTTAATAAATAGTTAAAATGTTTGTTTGTATTGACTTGGTGCACATTTACTTTATTCATTGAAAAACAGCGCTCTCAAAATCCAAGGATAAAAATTTCGTTAATTCTTATTTTACATATTTTTACATTGATCTTACAGAGCTAAGGTGTGCTTAATGATTTTTTAATTCGTAAAAAATTACTTCCCTCTAATGCAAAAAAAATCATGTTGGCCAAAGTTTCAACCCTCAATAATTGGGTGTGCTGTTTTTACTAGTATGCGTGTTTAAAGCAATGTATCAAATAAATAAATAAAATTAAATTTGAATAATTTTCTCAAATTTCTTTAAAATCCGTAATTTTTATTACATATTACTTCATTTTTATCTCACCAAATTTTATTTGTGTAAATAAATGTAAATATTTATTTTATTAAAATTAGATATGTGCTGAGTTAGTAACTATGAGCTTTATTCTTTTGCAAATATTACGTTTTTCACAATAACGCACAGCATTTTTTTGATTTGAAAAATATTCTCGCACACGCCATTTTAGTTAATATTTTGTTGACATCTTAATTATCATTAATGCCTTACTACTACTAAATTTTTTGTTCAATATTATTTCTTTGACTATTTACGTTTAAAATTACTGTAACCACTAAACTCTATTACTATTCTGTCGTTTGCGTGTGTGGGAGTTCAAGTATTTTTTTCAATAGTCCTAATTAGATTTTTATTTTTATCATACAGCTGCTACTTTTTACAAAAATTTACACTTCCTACTAGAGGAAGCCTCTTACGCTGTATACTTTTACATGTATACAATCGTTTATTCAACTTATTATTACTACACTGATATGCGAAGATGTGTTACAATTAGAGAATAGTTGGTAGCTTAGAGTCATAAAACTTATTAAAATAGAAGAGCCTGACTTTTTTTTGAAAATTTAATATCTGTTACGAATGTTATCATTACTATGACTAAAAGATAGATAGTACTAATCTTAGATTTTAGAACGTGTAAAAATTATGTAGCACTTGCTTGCGTCATCAAACAATTTTACCTTTCTACGGCTTCTCACCTCTTTCTTACCAATCGTAAAATAAATGTTTTTAATAAGTAAATGAAAAAATAGTAGTTTTTGTCACAGAAGTGCCATCGCCACCGGGGCTATTTCGCGTCCATAAGGGACTGCCGGTTAAGTGGCACTCGTGTGGCGAATCTTACTTTTCTAGCCAAGGGCGCAGTAAGCGTCTAAATGTCCTGAAAAACGCCCGAGGCCGGAAAAGGATTTTTTCATGTTTTCTCTTTTATTGAATGCGCAAAACTCTTAAAGAATTGACACTTTCGCTTTCATCTACCATACATTGCATTTAAAAATAATTTGCTGTTTATCCTGCTTTGAAGCACTAATAACTAGGTATTTATAAGCAACTAAGTAGTGTTATTAAAAACAGATGATGCATTAACTTTTTAAATACTCGTTTGCAATATTTTAATTTAACTACTGTCAAATAAAGACGCATTGGCTACCTACAATGAACTTATCGATTAGGTAACAAAATTAGTATAACACAAGCCCAAGGCTAAAAAGATGGATTTCCTTGCATGTGTGTCATAATGTTTGATTGGAAGTCGAGGACGTCATAACGCACGCTAGGGCATCTAATAATTTAGCCATGTGTCGTATAGTGTTCTTTTTTATCCTTGATTAAAAGTACGTTCACTAAATTGATGTTAATTGATGTAATGTTGCCAGCTACTATAATTAAAATTGAGCCATGAACTAGATTTTTGAATTGAGCAAACAAGAAAATTTTTTATCCACGTTAATGCATTATTGGTTTTAATATCTTTTGTTTTTGTCATTCGTACAAACATAAAAAAAAAATTTGTATCAGGATGATAACTGAGAGATCATATTTGTCAATAATTTACTTTTTTATTATGTCGATCCTATTAAAATTTCTTACGTTTTTAAGAGAATACGATATCTTAGTTTATATAACTATCGCGAGTATCAATTGAATCTCCGTAAATGAAGAAAACATGATCCCTTAGTTGTTTTCTAATTCTGAAAATAATTTTTAAAATCCATTTTTTTTTTTCAACTTTCAGTTGTTTTTAGTATCGTTCATTCATTCTCATTTCTCGTCTAAAAATTACTATTTTTCAATTTCTTTACTCAAAGTATATGTCTCACAATCACGCAACCACTTCCTAACATACGAAAACCCGAATGCACCTGTTACTAAAAACACTTCATCTCAAGATTTTTCGCGAAACAACTTCACTCTTACACCAACACTAGAGCGGGCTGGCTAAGCTTGCACGCGCGAGCAGGCACTGGCCCATATGCCTGCTTGCCTACCTGCCTGTATGCTTGTCTGCCTGCCTGTCTACTCGTCACAAAGATATGACTGTTTCACGGACTGATTCCTAGGTTGTGCTTTACAAAACTAAAGCTACTACTACTGGCGATTGAGATCAAAGGGGAGGGTGGCGCAGACAGTAAGATATCGATCAACCCACGTGGCGCCAAGATTTCAGCCAATACCCAGGGATTCTTCATTGCCCAATCAGCCGACGAAGTCAAACGGTATTATTATGTTTTATAAGAGCATGCAAGTGCACTGTTTTGTATTGATGTTAACACTGATTTTAAATTGTCGTTGAAATACTTTTTTTACCATTGGAATTTGAAAAATAATGATTTTTCCACCAAATATCATTTTGAAGCATAAATCTAATACCTTTTTTACACGTTTGTTCTTCTTTACAGAGCGTGGTTTTACTGTAAGGCCTGTCACGAAGACATTAAGGATGAAACTTTAATCAAGAAGTGCAAATGCAAAAATTGTAAGTCCTTCCAGACATATACTTTCTTATATTTACCATCATACAAACTGGCCAATTTTTTAACTTAAAAACTAATTGTCCATTTACTTTCAATACAAAAAAATTGGCTTGGGTTGATTAAATAATATTTTTACCGATAAATATGATAAATGAATCGTATTTTTTCTAATCAAAACAGTTACAATAACAATAACAACAACTTGTATTCACACAGTTCTGATGTTTGATTTTCCAGTTAAAAATATCGAAAGAAACCGTACAACTTTTAGATAAAAATTAGAATCAGACAATCAAACGAAGAGATTAAACGTTAAAAAATTTAGGGTAAAAAAATATTTTGTACTTATACTTATATAATAATAAATACAAACACTCAAGTTTATTATTATATCGATTTTTACTGAGATCACAGATCGCTATAAAAATAAGAGAAAAAAAAAAAAAAAAAAAATTGATTGGAAAATAAATAATAATAGTATAACTGTGAGAAATAACTTAGACGGACATAGTTATGACGATATTATTTGTGATATATTCATTCAGTGGGGCAGCAGCAGCGTTCCTGGGGCCGGGACCTAGGTAACTTCTCTCTCACTCGCCTCGTTTGAACGTCTTTTTTCGATTATCACTTTTTTCTCTCTGTTTTTATCCATCCATCTCTTTTACTCTATTTCTGTTTTTGAAAATATTTTTCTAGTCGAATTTTTTTACAACCTTACTATACCTTATTTTTTATTACATCTGAATTATCCTCTTTGTTATTTTACCTTAATCTTTCTTTCATAGAGTTCTTTACTTATCTCAATGTGTGGGTAGTATATGTATATAGGCACTTTCATGCATACAGAGGAGTCAATTATTTTAAATTTCATAATTTTGTATCCTCAATTGCTGATAATGGACCTATGATTGCCCATTGCACGGAGAGTTACGAGTCACTCCCGGTTGGGGTACATACTAAAACCGTATGGCTACACCAGGAGGCGATAAAGATTTATCAGATCACGCGTTAGTAATTATTTACTTTATCTCCTTAAGTGTGTATGTTACTATTCTCAGCTCTCATCATACTGAATTGTTTTTATGACTTAAAACTAAAGTAGAAAAAATTGTTTTGAAAACTAGAAATATCGAAAAATATGGTGTTTTATAAGAATTTTTGTAGTAATTTTTTCAAGCAGGATAAAAAAAAATTTATTAGTTTAATTACGGGGTTATTACATCATGTTTTTAAGTGTAAAAAAATCATCTCAATTAAATAAAAAGTTGAGTAATGAAATTTATGAAAATGCAGAGAAATTTGCAAGAAGGGCTAATGTTTGTTTTGAATTATGGTATGGTATTTTTGGAGCAAAAATGTTAATTTAAGGCTATATAAGAATGATTAAGGTGATAAGAGTTTGAAAAATTCTTTTTTTAAAATAATAGACAACTTAACGTATGTTTTAAGCACTATATACATGTCTACTCTCCATATTTATTATATACCTATTTATTTTACTTTATTCAAATTTGAAGCGATCTGCCAGAAAATTAATTTAGATTGGCTGTATTGGAAATAACTTTTTTCTATTGCTGAATTAAAAAAATTTTTTTTTCAATCGTATTGACTTATTAATTTATTGTTACTTCTTCTACAACTCTTCTTTTTCTCTAATTTTATTTTCGTTGTAATATATCGCTCGTTCACTTATTGAAAACACCGTTTGCAGTTTGCGACCTTATTAGCTGATGCAACTTAGTATTAAAGTTTTTCTCACATGAAGTTACGAAAATATATTTTTGTATTGTTTGTACTCTTTATTCATTTGTTGCAATAATGTTAAGATTTTCACGATGATTATGGTGATTGCGATTAAAACGCTCTGCATTGAAATTTTTCTCAGCCCCTGTTTTATCATCTACAAATCGTTTCCTTATATTTTACTATTATTTTTTCGTTCACACATCAATCCCCTTTTTTTGGTAAGATGGAAGAACACTGGAATGCCGCTTGAATGACGTTTAATTTTTTCCCTCTATTTTTAGTTTTTTCTATAAAATACTTCTTTGCATTTATTCAACTATCCGTATTATCTTGTTTTATCTCTCCTTCTAAATCAACAAATATAAAGTTTCAAGACATCTTTTTTTCAAATTGGAGGATTAAAAGCTTGAATATGCGTTAGATATCTCCTAGAAGTATCATTTAAAGTTAACATGCGACACTTAATATTCTACTAATCCCACAAACATTAAAAGCAGTAACTTTACTTTTTTTTAAACACAAATTCACAACTCAAATATGTTTACCGTTTGCATAGTTTCAGTAGTTTGATCCCATTAAAAAGCGATTTTTGTACAGATTAAAAAAAACTTTAGTTCGAAAAATAAAAACTTGATTTTAAAACTAGTATGCACCCTAGTGATTCATTCATCTCGTCTCTATATCTTTTCTTCTTACTGTCTTCCCCCATCTACTTTTTTTTTTTTGGCTGGCATGTAAACTATGATGTGGCTATCAATACAAAGCTCACGTCTGATTCATTATGACTCTATTTTCCTGCATCTCTGCCTTTCTCTCTCTCTCTCTCTCTGCCTTTTTCTATTCTTTTTTTTTCGTTACCTCTTTTTTTTTACGGTTGTGTAGAGACTATTCCAGTGATGGTGTTCCTTTACATGCAGCCTTATATCATTAAATTTCTCAAGGGCACCAACATATGAACGTCAAATATGATTGGCTCCTGCTTTTATCCAATTTTTTTTCTTAATCTGTATCATTCTTTGCAAATACTTTGAAAATGATTGTAAAAATCTTACTGTGTACCTATTTATTTTAGCAAACTGTTCTCGACTAAAAATCTTAGAATGTCATGAAATAAAATTTTTTTTTTGGAATACATTTTCACACAATGCAGTATAAAAAATTTTTAAATGTTTGTACCTTTTTGCAAGTTAATATTATAAATGTTTCAAAAAAAGAAGATGGATTAAACAAATACAATTATCAAGTTTTTTATCGTTGCCCGTAGTTATGCTAACATAACAATCAGTTGAGTTGAAACATAAAATTATTTTCTAAAACCGTTTTTAACCATCAAGACTATTTATATTAACTAAATCAACTGTTAGACTTGATGGGAAAAATTTGAACTAGTTTTTATAGTTGGTTTTCTTTTCGTTCGAAAAGAAATTTGGACTAATCGTAAACAGCGGTTGCAAGTGGAATATTAACAAATTCATACAATATTTCTGCTCACTTTCAATGGATACCCATCACTATCCTCAATTTTTACGCTATTTTTTATATTATCGAATCATCTACTTTCTTACAACAAGTGGTATTCTTTCTATCGTTTATTTTTTTCTCCAAATAAGATAACTTAGATACGTATCTGGATACATAAGCGACTTGCTGTTTTTCTCTCAAAATTTATTTTTTAATGCATTTTTTTGGAAATTTATTGTGTTTTTTTAACTAAAACAAATCTAGTTTTTTTAGTTCAAATAAGTGGCTCAGATTATATCTTCATCCCTAGTTAATGAAGTACTTGGTTCGGTCTCCTACGACTAATAGTATGATTCAAAGCTTCCCTTGAAAAAAAGGATGATTCAGAATTCTCGAAAAAAAAAAAAAATACTTTCCATGGTGTTTTTGCGAGAAAAATTACATTCAAAGTGTATAGTTGAATTATAGTAAAAATAATTTATTTTTAATGTTAATTTTAATAAAAAACGTTATTTTTCGTAGTGTTTGAATCATGTTTTATTTTTTTAGGAACTTAAATTATATTCTTCTTTGGTTAAAATTCAAACTGTATGTATTCTGAAAGGGGAATCTTGATTCTTATTTTTTTTTGTGGGAAGCTCAGACTTAGACTCTTTAGTGAGAAACTCTGAATTCCTTTTTTTCTATGGGGGGTTTGCATACTGTATTTTTTTTCGTTAAATGCTGAATCAAATTTATTTTTGTAAAAGGCAACGATACAGGAATCTCCTTGTGGTAAGATTACGGCTGCTTCAGAAATGTATTTTACAATGTGACTAGAGCAAAAACTGTAAGCCTTGAGAATGTGTGATTTTATGCTAGAAAACAAAATGTACAAACTTAATGGTAAATGAGTTCCATGAAAAATATGTTAGAAGAATCTGATCTAAGTTTAATACCGTAACTTTACCATGAAATGCTGTTTTCACTATTTGTGAAACAGTAGATAATTCTTAAGTACCAATAATTATATATACTTGATACAATTAAGTTACTTTAAAAACTAATTGGTATTCATTAACTATAGGTAGTCGTAGTACAAACAACATTATTGCTCTTTATTGATCATAAGAATCATTGTAAAGTTTATCAAAAAACAGCTATTGTATATATTAAACAGTTACATGGAATACAATAACTTCTTAAATATTTATGTTATTTATAAAGCCTTCGTAAGAGAGAAACATCACATTACAGTACATTAATAACATAGACAGAAATTTTTTTTAAACTTGCAGTCGTGTCATATACGTCCTATATACATGTTATGGTCATTGGTTTGAAAAAAGCTGACGATTCATCACTTGCACAGCAATTATTATTTGACAATGTAGCTTTCGAACCATTAGATCACGATTTTAATAAGTTTTCATACAGTTGACTGGAGTCAAATGCACGGTGTCAGAGCCTAAACTCTTTAAATTATTAAGCTAGTAATATAAGCTAAGTATAAATTTTTTTAGGAAGTATTCCATACATTCAAAAGTATGTTGGTAAAAAAAGGAAATACAGAGTAACATAGGGCTTGCGTACAAGACAGACAATAGTATAATATGATAAGCTATCACGATAAGAACTCACTTTGAAGAATGATGTAAAATCAATGCTACATTATTATTGAAAATAAGCAATATTACAAGACCACCAAAGAAATTTTATAATTATAACAGTTAAAATTGTGAGCCTGTTTTAAAAAATATACATTTTCCTTACTAATTCAACTACCCTGTTTTCTTTTTTTTTACATATTGCTGATGTAACTTTATAAATCGTACAATTAAAAAAAATTAAAATACATTTTCTACTTAAGAAGTGAATCTAATCTTCTTTAGATTTGTATTACAATTATTTACTACACTTTATAAAATTCTTATATTGTTGTTATTAGATATTTGCTAATCAATTTAACGGATATTCCCATACATGTGATTAAAATTACTAAAAAATAGTTTTACAAAAACTCTAATGTCTGGCTGTCTTTTTTTTTGTACAGAAAAAATATAATTTACGAGCTTATTTCTTTCCATCTACATATAGTTTTGTGTATAATTTTAATGGAAAATTATAATGTACGTAATACACGCTATTATTTTAGTATTAGCAATGAAATCAATTTTATTGACTTTTTATGATTGATTCAACTATTAAAACAGATAATAGCTTGATAAAAAATATTACGCTAAAAAAAATTTATCAATTAGCTTAGCAGAGTAAAATATAAATCCGCAAGTATGCCTTACACGTAGGATATCTGCGGTACCGGTGAGTTTTTAGTCAGTTACTATATAAAAACATGTTTATTTTTACATAATATATATTTTACTGATTTCAT